TCACCCATTTCACCTTGTACGCAAGCGTCAACCGAACATTAACTCTGCCGGGCTTCTACCGATTGTCTTCTTTGGCATGTTCCGGCACACGAACAGGGAACGATCCAAACGCACACCCAGTGGAGCATTTGGTTGTTTTGTTGGCAGATTTTTCATCGTCTGTGCCGCCCTCTCCGCCAACCCGTTGGAGGACGGATGATAAAGTGCAGTAGTTATGTGTCTAACGCCGTCCAAGCGAAGAAAGTTAGAAAACTCGGCACTGGAAACTGCTGGCCCTTTGTCAGACACTGGTGTTTCGGGGAGACTAAGCGTCGCGAATGTTGTGCGCAGTTTAGTTATGTTGCTAGCTGAAGTTGCTGAGGCCAGAATGTGCGCTACAATCCACCTAGAATGGGCGCCAGCGATCAATAATATCATCCGACCCTCGAAAGGACCGAAAAAGTTTACATGGACGCTTCTCCATGATGTTTCTGGACACTTCCATGGCTCAATGGCACATGGGGGTTGCTTTTCGGTTTTCCTGACAGAGTATGCAACTTCCACTCTTCACTGCAATGTCATCGTCTAATTCGGACCACGACACATAAAATCCAGCTTGTGGCTTCATTTTGGCAACTCCTGAACGTGCATCATGCAATTCATCCAGGATACGTGACCGAAATCTTTTGGGGAGTATGTCGTGTGCCCCATAGTAAACATCCATTCTGGAGGCTGAGCTCAGCCATCCCAGTATGGAAAGACATGCGTTCTTCGGATGTGTTATTTGGCTATCCAGCTTGAGCGTAGCATTTCACCAGCGATAAAAGTGTATCTCTATCATTCTCCCCACTTATGTCCGTTGACGTAACCGGGGAATCATTGCGATGCTGAACCAAGTTTACAAGCTCCTCCGAAGTTATCTCTGGTAAAGGAAGTTGACTTAGCTGTGGTATTTTGTTGGCCGGAACGGTACTGAATTTTTTTAAATCTATATGCAGATAGAATGAGGGACCAACGAATCATGCAGAGTGCAGACATTTGTTGAATCCCCTTCTCTTGTCCAAGGAAGGAAACAAGTGGTTTATGACCTGGATAGATCACGAAGGGTCGGCCAAGTTAACATTGATGAAATCGAGTAGTGCCGGAGATCACAGCTGCCGCCTCTCGATCAAGCTGCGAGTAACTTGCCTCTGCAGCTGTCAATGTCTTGGGGCATAAGCAATGGGTCGCTGGTAGCCCTCCGGTAATCCGTGCAGTAAAACAGTTTCAAGACTGTATGGTGAAGCATCACAAGAGAGAATAACCGGCTTTTGCTGGTCGTACTGCCCAAGAACATCTGCTGATGCCAAACTCTTTTTAACCGCAGTGAAAGCATTTTTATGAACCCTGTTCCAATTCCAAGTTTAGTTTTTAACTAAGAGTTTATGAAGCGGATGTAGATTTGGTTGCTGCCAATAGTATGAACCTTGAAAACAGCATCCACAAGTGACCGCAGTTCATGGTCATTTTGGGTGCTGGCGCTTCAAGTAGCGCTCTTGTCTTTTCTTTTAATGAGCACAATCCTTCCCGAGATAACCGATACTCAAGATACTGTACACACGGCACAAGAAATTCACTTTTCCTTTTTTTAACCAACCCGGCGTCTGATAATCGTTTCAGGATGACATCCAAGTATGCAAGTGTTCGGTGATAGTGCGTCCAGTAACCAGGATGTCATCTAAGTATGCACATATGTTTGGTATGTCCTTCACCAGTGTGTCAATAATATGCTGAAAGATAGCCGGGGCCGAGCTTATTCCAAATGGCATGCGTGTTCAGCGGAATAATCCAAGGTGAGTCCTAGTGATGGTGTATACACGTGATTCCTCGTCGAGTTCAATTTGTTGTTAGGTATGGCGCAGATCTAGAATGACAAAAAGCGTGCCACTGGGGAGAGAAGCGTAAATGTCTTCAATCTTTGGCAGCGCATATCTGTCTAGCTGTAATACCTGGTTGATCGTAACTTTATAGCCCCCCCCCCACATTCTTATGACACCATCACTTTTCAATACTGGCACTATAGGGGCTGCCCAGTCCGAATATTGGACAGGTTCAATCGTACCCTCCAGCTGGAGTCGGTGCAACTGTTGACTTTCTCACGAAGAGCATAGGGACCAGATCGAGCTTTCTAAAACTTCGGTATCGCCTTTGGTTTCCACACTAGATGAGCGGCGCAAATTTTCCAAAGGTCTTGTCTAAACTCATCGAACAAAACCGCATGTTTCTGCAGGGCATAAAATAACTGTGCATGGGTTCCCACCAAGTTGACATTCAGGTGTAAGTTCTCAGTGATGCAGTTTGTAGCTTTATGTTGCGCAGATGCAAATGATTTCCGCTTGGAAAGACATACTTTCTAAATATGACCTTTTTTACCACAAAGTCTGCTCACTGAATGAAAATGCTGGTAATCAGTTGGGAACGAATGTTCACCGCAGCGATAACAACAAACTTTTCTACGCTACACAAGTTGTGTTGCGGTTTGACCACGGTTATTCTGAGAAACTTTGTTTGCATCCTGTGAGATCAACAGATTGGGAGAAGAAAACGCAGCTAGTTCCTGAACGTGGTTTGTACGCTGTCGGACAATATCACTGGCTTTTTCCCAAGTCAGGATCGTTTCATCTTCGGATAGCAACCACTCTCGTGCGTTCTCGTCGAGAACACCCACAATTAATGCCTGTAACAGCATCACTTCTTCGAACTGGTTCGGTAAAATCTGATCATAGGCACAATCGAGAAGGGTAGTTCTTACTACCGACTTCTTAGTCGAGAGATAAACTCATTTACACTCTCATCCGATTGTTGTCGCATGATATTACATTTGTAGCGTGCTGTAAACGCATGTGGCTTTTACCCCCAAAGTCGGTCTAGGGAATGGACACGCAGATCGTAGGTCTCTTTTTGTATGTAGTTGCAAACTGTCGAAATGTCACTGGCCCTCATTACTGAGGTGGTGGCGTAATAGTTTGATTTTTGCTGCATCGTCTAACGTGTTATTGCCGCCAAGAAGCAAACGAAAATTAACGTAATTAATGAAAGTAGTTTTCCACTATGTCCACTGCTGGGTACTAGGTCTCTCAGTATGGGCATTCCAAAACGTTAGGGGTGCTGTAATCGAATTTGCCATGAGTAATCCGATAACCTTCGTCTGCAATGTTTCACCCAAGCGAAATAAGCGCAGCGATACGGTAATAGGAAAACTCTAGTAGCAAGCGTGAAGCGGTACAATCTAATCAGCACCTGTGATCTAACTGTTTGCCACGAGAGTCCAATGAACGCGAGAACGAGTTCCAGTTCGGAGCGAATCAACGGCGGACACTGATTGGTTCCCACACAATCGTGTACACACACAGGTACATGCGTTCCTTCGCAGCTGTCTTTCCAGCAGTGGCTACATTTGGCACGACCAATGATCGCATTAGTTTGCCCTAGTGTACGTATATCGTGTCACGATTCGAGTCCCTAAGCATTGCCCCGCTACAGAAAAAAAAACGTTCCAAGTTGTTAATAAACACCCTGTCTGCGATAACCGCTATCCTTGTTGGAGATTGCACAATGTTCCTCGGCCGAGATTTGCGATGGATCCGATGTCAGACCTGTTAAAATCACCAGCAAGAATGTACAAAGATTATTTCAGGTTTTCAAAGAAATCTGCTGTTCATTCATCGTAAAACTCTTCGAATTCATAGCTCGGACAGCTAGAGCAAAGGTAGATATTAAGTAACAAACTTGAGCGATAGTCTTTTAGCTACCTTCTTTTACCTTTCAGTATTAGACAGTTGATATGTTTCGAACCGCCTTGAATATTGCTTTCGTTGACATGTACCATGAAGATTTGATGTAGGTGATCACGCCACCATGACGCTTCCTGTTTGTACATAGGCGGTAAACATGATAAGAGATAAACCCGACATGTTCCACAATTACACCCTCAGCGCCTATGTGAAACCCAGAATATTGGGCATATTTATCTGTTATTGGACATATACACAAAGATCTACTATAGTTTTGCGATCTTCCAACTTTTCAAGCAGCAATCAGATAGGAGCACTGAGTAGAACAGGTATGCTCGTAGTTGTAAGTAGTAGGGGGATTTATAAGGTTTTCGTGTAGGTTCGTCTCAGTTATCCACAGGCAGACAGCCACCACACATCCAGCAAAGCGCTAGATGACTCTTTCGTCCTATTGGGACTCGTCAGTAGCGCGCACCCGCCGAATCCTGCCGGATTGGAACCCACGACCTTACTCTTGCGAGTCAGCGACTTATGTCACTGAGCCATGGGCGACGGCAGCGGACCGCCATGACTGATATCCAACTGCGATATAGCGCGGCCCAACATTCACCGTTATGCATATTGTGAATGTGTGAGGGGGAGAGCTGGGCCCCAGAGCAAGCCGCCCTGTCCTCTGCACATTCATAACATGCAAGACAGTGGAGGATGAGCCGCGCTATGTCGCAGTTGGATATCCGTCATGGCGGTCCGCTGCCGTCGCCCATGGCTCAGTGACATAAGTCGCTGACTCGCAAGAGTAAGGTCGTGGGTTCCAATCCGGCAGGATTCGGCGGGTGCCGCTACTGACGAGTCCCAACAGGACGAACCGGCCGTCTAGCGCTTTCCTGGATGTGTGGTGGCTGTCTGCCTGTGTCTAACTGCGACGAACCTACACGAAAGGTATGCTCGTACTTCGGAGTTTATTACTCAACATGCAACCCACCCTCATGTTTGATGCTTTTGTGTAGATTCCCTTCGCTTCTTCTCGATTCTTTTTATCTGGTTTTGTCTAGGATGGCCATGGGAAAGTTGTAAATTCGCATACGTTAAAATATAAATGTTTTAGCGCATCATGGGTGTACACGATCATGTCGATAGTCGCTACTTAAAATGAGCAATTCGATTGCATTATGAATGCAACTGAGTTAGAAGAGTTGTAGCCTTCCTCTTACTATTCATATTTTCATCCTTTTTTATTCTCACACACAGGATCATACGTTATGCGCGTCTTCTGTACGCCACTGTTGCCGATGCTGCACATTTCAGTGTGGCCGCTTTGACTGACACAATGGACGCGGAGAAGACTGCACATCAATTTGTCACTTACCATCTTGTCACATGTTCCAACTGTATCGCTGTGGATGTTGTGTGAGTTTTTCAATGTTTGCCTCATTTTTTTACACTGCACACTTTGAGGCATCTGTCTGAGTAAAGTCGGCATATCTGTACTTTTTAACATTAGAAAATCGGTCACTGAGTAGTTTCAATACTATTCGATGCTATATCCTAGGACAGCTAACATTGCACCTATGGTCAAGCATGGGCAAGCGTGGATGCTAACTCATGATTTATTGCGTTGTATTATCTGAATTAAACTGCGGTCTCTTGGAAAATGCATTCTGTTTGGATGTCAAATGACATTCGCTTCGCTCACTGGTTCCTTTCGCCTGACATACATCCACCAGTAGTGATTGCCCAGGTAAATTCTGAACTTCGACTCACACATCCTTGTCACGTACGGTCGATCACATCGTTCTTCTGGTTGCTTATATTCCCATGCCGTTCTCACCACCAGACTCCGTTTCGCATGCGCTCTTTCTTCTAATTTCCTGCGTCCTTTACACTCTCGGGTTACCTTTCGGTTTTTATTCGTGTTGTTCTCAATCGACATCACTGCGACTAGTTGGGGGATTGCGGTACACAATCTCAAGCTGGACCTCCATTCAATCTCAGTTAGTCCGGCCAATTAGCCTGCATCCAAAACAGATGTACGTTGCGTGTTGCCCGCTCTCAACACTTCACTGCGCAACCGAATCGTACTCATTTGTACTCATTAGGTCGAGAAAATTGCATCGAACTTGGGTACCGTGGGACGTCAGCCGAAGCCGCTACCCCGGGTCACGACGGATAGCGATTAGCAGAACAGCTTACAACAGGTGTAATACTGGTTGTGGAATGCAGTGTGGTGAACGGGCAACATCATTCATCAGCGTCACCGAGCTTCATCTCTGCTAGGTTTGTGTTTCGCATTTCGTTGCTGTTATACACCAACTACTAACAAGTAGCGCGTTTTTTACCTGCAATTTGCCACCCTTCTACACCCGTGCGCTCAAAGCCGCTCCAATGTTCAACAAGGTTCTAAAATTTGTTGCGATTTTAGTTGCGAAAGAACGCATTCGTACTGATGTGCCTGTATTTAGTTCACTGAATGTCAGTCGTTTTTATTCAGTCCGATGGGTTAATAGTCCACCTCGATGTCGTACTATTCCTCGAGGTCATGCGTTAAGGGTAGGGTGACGCACTACGGCGCGCAGTGGTAGCTCATACCGACGAATGGGTGGGCTGAGTAACTAAGTGGAATTTTTCCAAACGTTGCTCCAACACCTATTTCACTTACCCATCGCTAATGCCACTAGATTCGAAGATGGGATACAGCTGGTGGGTGTCAATAAATCCCACTGGTCCACTGATGCTTTGATGACGCTTGTATGAGGTACTGCTTATGGCGTTAAAAGTGCAGAAACGGTAATTCCATAAACTTCGGATGGCCGATGAATTTAAAGGAACTCGTTATGGAATCAGGATCTCGTCGATTACATAGTCAAAATTTACAACTCCTTTTTATACGAACCAGGAATTCCTTACACCATCGGCTGTTCACTAGATTCGCACGAAAATAATGAATAAATAAATGGTGTCTTCCTCGGCGATGCGAGGTGCAGTCCAGCTATGTGGCCTGATCAATTAGTTGTCATTTAATCGCAGAAATTCGCAGTTCTGTCTCGAAAGCATGTCGTGTAAGCACGTGGTGCCGGTAGTAACTTATCCTGCGAATGAAATCATTGTGGACGACTTGGTGTGGGTTTTGGACAAGAAAGGAGAACATATTCTCAGAGAACGAGACGCTGTTTTACTTGAAATATTTTCCGTCCGCACAATAACCATCTATTGTAGTTATGCATACTGTTATAAAAGCAATTCACTCGCATGCCTCGGCTCGCATTTGAGGGGTACCACAGAATCACAAGCACACGCGGCACATTTTGCGCTCACCACAGAATCAGCTTGCTAAGAGATTCAGCAAATTATGACCCTGTCTTGTGGTGTCACGAAATTTCTAGAACTTGGCCGTGCTTGGTGCCTTAGAATTCGCTTACTACAACGACGGAACCGACTGGTACTGATGATTATGTAACCAGAATTAATGGGTTGGGGATTTCACATACCCTACCATAATTATTGGGCCAATCGACCCAACAGATGCCCGCACATAGGCCTGGCTCGGGAATTAGCGATTATCACTCCTACCGGTGGGCTCTCATATCTCGGCATTGCGTTTGTTTCACCATTTGAACTCCATTCGATCCCTCCAATTAAAGTGTCTTGTTCTCCTGCAACTGTACTTTGCCTCACGTTCACACCATATCCGTAATGACCATTAACTTGTCCGCTACAAACTCGGACGCACGCGTTCATCCATCTAAGTACATTCTGGTTAAATTTGCCTTGCCCACATGAAGCATATGGCGGATGTGAGTCCTTTGCTGGAATTATCTCTACCCGATGTATAGTTGCGTTTAACCCTACTAGGAAATAGATTGCTCGTATCATGAAGCACGCGTCAATGTGGCCAACATTTGTGTTCCCTCGAATTTTTTACCCCATAGGTACATCACTTCTTGACTCCCTAATGCTACTCGGACAAAATTTAGCGACTATTTTCTCATCTTTATCTTGTCCCAACAGCTCTGGAACTAGCGTGATCAAAATGTTCTCAGAGGATTCACTAAAACAATGGCTATCTAACTCTGGCTTGGTGGTCTCCGATGCCGATGGCGCCATGTACATAAACGCCCTCAAGTCCACTCGCGTGATCGGAGAGGTGTGTCCAAACGAGTCCATTCGAGCCAGACACTTTAGTGATGTGACCTCCGATCGTCTGCTCTATTTTGTGAATGCGTCCTCAGTTGAGCCTGAAACGAATTCAGTTTGAGCTTACCATCGTCGTTCCACTCAGTCTACTAGTTCTTTGTGCGGTTACCTCAACGCCTGACTTACTATATCCGTGAAATTCATGCTGTTGCTTTCGACCGTAGTCACCTCTACATGACCAACATCTCTTCGTTGAGGAACACGCTAGTGCACTGCTCTTTCCTTTCCCGCGTTATCTGTTGTGTTGGTTCTTCGTGGTGTCTTTTCTCTAATACGCATTTTTCTACGACGTTTTCTCTATCTAGTATTGCTTTTGTTTTCGAGCACCTTTTTGATGTTGTTTGGCTCTTGTCGTTGCATACGTTCGAGCAGCCGTTGCTTTTTGTTGAACTGAAAGCGCTAATCTTTTGTGCGATCCAGTTAGGATATTCCATACTAATTGCCCACCACTATTTTGACCAGATGATCTAACCCACCTCTCCAACTTTACTCCATTAGTAATACTGCTAACAGCCTAGTGTTTTTGACGATCTCCGAATTTTGAGCCCCTGAAGTTGTTCATTGTCTCTACTAGTGCGGACCACGAGTTTCAAACTGTTGACTACGCTCGAGCTTGATGAAGAACCATTTTCCTGAAGTGGAACAATGGCAGATTACGGGCAAAAAAGCAGATGCGTAGTAAGCCCCGTAAAGATAGCCAGAATAAGAACCACAACATGGTGAATAGAAAACAAAGCGATAAAATGAAAATCGTTTTGGTGGACTCACCACAATGTTAATACGAAGGCATGCAGAAAGTGCCAACCTCAGTCGTGTAGGTTAACTCTGGTTGTGCAATTTTCGTCGCATTATGTCATTTATCGAGACACACCGACCATATCTCTTAATGTCAAGGTGTTTTTTAAACACCGATAAAGTGGGGACGGAAACAACCTAATTTGGGAGGGCGTCCCATGGCCGGCACACAAGAACAGAGTAAAAGTTCCGTCGACATTCTAGCCGACTGTATTGCGTGTTTAACTTAAAATAGTGACCCCCTCACATTCGTGTCGTGACAGTTGCAGTAGATAGCGGCAGACGTGGTTGTGATTCCTTAGAATCTGATAGGCCATAATAGGGTCACTGCGTAGGCGTCGGTACCGGCCGCTGTATAATTTTAGAGTCCTTAGTCTAAGTTGATAAGTAAGATTGAACAACACTTTGACATGCTTCGTGACACGTCGCTGTGGAGTCTCCAGCCCTGCAAGGTCTTGCTTGTGCCAGGACTGCCACGCCTGGATTGCGTGGTCCACATGAGGCCGCACGTAGATGACAAGCAACTGCAACAGGCAGAGGAATCAAATCACCCGAATGCCCTCCGCAGCATGATATATATATATATATATATATATATATATATATATATATATATATATATATATATATATATATATATATATATATATATATATATATATAGCTTGTCAATGATTCCCATCCTTCGGTCCTCTCCCCAGGATCGAACCGATGACTGTTTGTGGCTTGCGCCAACTGGCCCGTAGCTGAAGCCACTGAGAGTTGAGGGACGGCAGACGATCATCCTGAATTGTTACCTAGCTGCGATATATTCCGACCCATGCTCCACTGCCATGCAGATGACAGCGGTTGGCCTTCCAGGGTCAGGAGTTTCCGGTTACGGCAGCTATGAATCGACATAGCAGTTTTTTGAAATCCGTACTGGCGAGTTTGTGTGACTTATGATTAGAATGATTTGGGCGACTATTTTGACTTCGTCGCATTCAGCCAACGTTTCAGATTAATCAGCTACCATTTTAAGAATGCTATAGAGAGGTGTTCCGCTCTATTGGGGCTCGTCAGTGATGCGCATCCTGCGGTCCTCTTCCGAGGATCGAACCGATGACTGCTAGTGGCTTGCGCCAGCTAGCCCGCAGCTGAAGCCACTGCGCCATGGGGGACGGCAGACGACCATCATGAAGTGTTAGGTAACTGCGATATAGCCCGACCCATGCTCCACTGCCCTGCACGCACCTGCCATGCAGATGACAGCGGTTTGCCTTCCAGGGTCAGGAGTTTCCGGTTACGCCAGCTTTGAATCAACATAGCATTTTTATGGAATCCATAAGGGTGAATTTGTTTTGCTTATGAGTGGTAGGATTTTGGCGAGTACTTTGAGTTCCTCTCAATCAACCGACATTTGAGATAAATCAACTACCATTCCAAGAAAACTCTGTTTGGCTGTTTTGCCCTATTATGACTTGTGAATGATGCGCATCCTTCAGTCCTCTTCCGTGTATCGAACCGATGACTGCTAGTGGCTTGCGCCAACTATCCCGCAGCTGTAGCCGCTGAGTCATACGGCAGACGACCGTCATGAATTGTTTGCTAACTGCGATATAGCCCGAACCGTCCTCTACTGCCATGCAGATGACAGCGGTTTACCTTCCGGCATCAGGACTTCCCGGTTAAGGCAGCCATGAATCAACATAGCTGTTATATGAGATCCGTAAGGGCGAATTTGGATGACATATGAGTGGTAGGATTTTTGCGAGTATTTTGAGTTCGTTGCAATCAGTCGACAATTTAGCTAAATCAACTACTATTCCAAGAAAGCGCCAGACCTCCGTTTGGTCTGTGGGTCTCGTCAGTGGTGCGCATCCCTCGGTCCTCTTCCGTGAATCGATAAAATGACTGCTTATGGCTTGCGTCAACTAACTAGCCCACAGTTGAAGCCACTGAGCCATGGCGAACGGCGATCATGAATTTTCAGAAAACTCCCATATAGCCCGACTATTCTTCACTGCCTTGCACGCATCTACCATGCGGATTTTTTTGTGCCTGGTTCTGCCATCCGCGTCTAGAGATGGAATACCACCGGCTATGCACGCAAGCGCTCTATCTACAACTCTCAGGCGTATACATCTAACTGTGATTATAAAAACTCACCTGCCCGCCCGATCGATTGCTTGATCGACCACACTGCGGCAGGCGATTCCATTAGCCTCAGCTGTCTGCCCCATCACATGCTTTCCTTTTTATTGTTTTTTAATATGTTGTTGCAACAATTTCCGTACGGTTTTTCTCTGTGCGTACGCTTGCTGTCTTGGGCTGAGGTTTCAGGTACCCTTTCTTGTTGCTGCTGCCTATCCTCGCTTTGCGGAGTCCGTCTATAACGTGCTCTCCGAATTTGCACCCGGTTCCGTCTGATGATATTGTTCCCTATCCTGATTTCGTAGCTCCTTTAACCCCTGCGACCCTCAATCACTCTCCTTCGCCATCGTTCTTCCGAATCTGGTATTGGTTGCACCCATACTTATTCTCCTACACCTCAGGGTGGTAGGCATCTCAATAAACTATCATAGTACTTCTTTTGTTTTAGCATTCTCTTCCGTAGTCAGTTATGCACCGAAGCGCTCTGGGCTATCTCGGGCTGTAGCAACATTGTAGCGGCCGGTATCAGCGTTCTACTTCTGCGTCTGAATAGTCCCTGCACCGGATTTACTCTGATCTCGGTAGACGGTGTGTTTCTTCGCTCCAGAATTATTATGTAGGGATCCTCGTGAATCTCCTTGGCTTTGGTAAGTACTTTCTTCGCCTCCTTCACTGCTGACAGCCTTCCCATTTGATTGGCTGTGGTACGGTCTGATGATCCGATGCCGAAAATCCCACTTCTTGCTAAAAGCGCTGAATTGCGGCCCGTTGTCGAAAATCAACACCTCGAGGATTCCATGTCGAGCGAAACGACACCGTAACTTGTTCACTACGGCTTGCGCGCAGGTTGACGTAAGGGCGTAAATCTCGAACTAGTCACTGAAATAGTCGACCACAACCAAAAAGCTCTTCCCGTCATGAACAAAATGTCTAATGCGACCATCTGCCACGGCCTATCCGGAACGTCATGAAGCGTCATTGGCTCCTTCGGCTGGTGCACATCGTGTGTTCTGCATGTTAAACATTTTGTTACGTAATCGCGTATTTGGCCAGCCATTCCTGGCCATAACATCAACTCGCGTGCACTTTCCACGCAATTGTTGATTCCCAAATGTGCATAGTGGGCCATCTGCAGCACTGAATGTTGCAATGCCTTCGGAACCACAATCCTGTTGCCCTTGAATATTACTCCGTCTTGGGCGACGAGTTCATCACGAAAATGAAAGAACGGAGTTAACACTTTCGACAATTTTTTCTTATCTTCTGGCCATCCGTCTATTGTCGTCTGCCTTAGTAGCCTGCACTGTTCGTCCTCCTCCGTGCACCGTTGGAGCTGCTGCAAATGTTCCCTAGTGACCTCAATCAGCTGTGTTGCTTGGACAAAATCCGGGTCTCCTTCCATTTGCGGTGTGTCTAACAGGTGCGCCCTTGACAACGTGTCCGCAATGTACATGTGGGATCCTAGTCGGTAAACTATATCCATGTCATACGTCTGCAGACGAATGAGCATCTTTGCCTGCGTCGTGGAGCGACATTGATTGGCTTACTAGCGATGGATACAAGTGGCTTGTGGTCAGTGAAGACAGTTGTTTAGCGGCCGAACGTATAATCGTTGAAGCGTTCTACGGCGTAAACCAGAGCCAGCATTTCCTTTTAAATTTGTGCGTAACGACGCTCGGTCTCTGTGTGCATGCGACTGCGAAGATTGACAGGCTTGTTGCTTTGCATAAGCACAGCTCCAATGCCGCATTGGCTACTGTCACACTGAATCTCGAGTGGAAGCGAAGGATCAAAGTAGACAAGGACAGGCGCTTTTGCAGTTAACTCCTTGATCTTCCTAAAGGCATTTTCTTGTTCAGATGCCCAGTGCCAAGCTTCACCCTTATGGGTTAACTTCCGAATCGGTATCATCACATCGGTCAGTCGTGGAAGGAAACGGCTCAAGTAACTAACCATTCCGTTTAGCCTGCTAACCGCCTTTGCATCTGTGGGGGGATACATCTCGTTTATGGCTCTGATTTTTTCTGGATCTGGTTTCAACCCTGTTGAACCCAGCTCGGGCCCGTGAAATGCCACTTCCGTGTTGCGTAGCTCGACTTTCTCATGCTTTAGTTTGATGTTTCTTTCACTACAGCGTTGTAGAAACTGGTGAAGGTGACGACCATGTTCCTCTCGAGTAGCGCCAAAAACTATCACGTCATCTGCAACACAAAAGACTCCGGGCAGATTGTCCAATGCTTGCAGCAGCCGCTTCTGAAATATCTCACTGGATAACTTCAAACCGAAGGGCAAAAGAAGCCACCTAAAACGTCCAAAAGGTGTTCCAAATGTAGTCAA